TTTTTGGGCGGTATCTTCTTCTTGCTTCGATCTTTGCGAAAAGATCCGGATTGATGAGCTTCCCGAGAACCTTTATATCTGTTATCCATTTTCCTCAGAATATGTATTCACAGACGAAAACTCACTGTAACGCACAGTTGCACGAACGGCAAGCTACTGACGAAACGCGTCCAATTTCCGGCAAAGAATAACGGTCGTGTGATATTTCCGTTATACCTGGACCCGACCACGCCCGAAAACACAATAGAATCGTAAAACAGGTCTAGACACGCTCTCTTCGAAGGGTCGCTGCCTCTCGGCTCGGCCGCAAAACAGGCGGTACGGCGCGCTCTCGGAGACGGTTTACTCTCTCGGCTGTAACTTCGTTATTTATCGAGATATTGACTTGCAATTTTAACCAGATATTCTTGAGACCTCAAGCATCAAGAAAATGCAAAAAAAAAATCGATTTTTTCGACTATGCTAGGTGTATATCTCCCCTTAAGTTAAATATGAGCAAAATCCTCTACCATTTTGCAAATGACTACATAGATTTTTGGATATTAATTAAGGAAAATTTGTGCATTGTGGTACATAATCATGTAACAATTTTCTTTAATTAATATCTAAAAATATATGTAATAATTTGCAAAATGGTGAAGAACATTTTTGTTCAATTTCACTTAATGTATAAGTATACAACGATAGATGGCGCCACTGCAGCTCATTTACCATATCGTGCGTAATCATTCACCAATTTTTTTTATTAATATTTTAAAACTTATTGCGCATGTCGCAAAACTATATGGAGCTTTTATGTTCACCTCCAACCGTTCTACATTTTCACAAAACATAAAGAAAAGTCTGGAACATCTTGTATATGCAATATCATTCTATTAGCGTCTATCGTATTATAAAGAAATATTTTTTGATATTAACAATTTACAATTACAGTAATATAAGAACAAATTATATAAACAGATTATGTTAAGTAACTAATAAGCAGATTATATAACTAACAAGGGAAACACTAGGTAACTGCTCCGGAGATTTTGATATGCTTTTTATAGGCTGTTTTTGGGCGAAAAAAAAACGACACGTGTCTGGCTAATGGGTCATAGTTTCGAAGAAATCGATTTTTAAAAATAACTACGGCATACTTGATACGTTCGACCGTCATTATTGAACAACAGCAGCGGTTGCGCAGTAGGTAAGACGTTGGCTTCGTATGCAGTAGGTTGCGTGTTCAAATCTAGTCTTGTACATTTTTTTATTAAAAATTTTTTCTTATCTATAATTATTTATATTATTGTAGATATACTCGAAAAACATTATTTATTTAATTATGTTGATATATTTTTTGTAAAAGAAAATTAAAAAATTAAAAAATTTTTAATTATTGTAATAATTTGAAAAATCTGTATAAAGAAATATTATCTTATCTTATATTAATATTATTATCTTATATTAATATTATTATCTTATATTAATATTATTACCTGTATAAAGAATATTATTATCTTTATAAATTTCATCTTAATTTAATATTATTAATTTTTATTACTTTTTGATTGTAATAAAAGTTTATAAATTTTCAAATTAATAGATAATTTGTTCTCTTATTTGTTGTCGAATTTTTCTTTTTGTTCTTATCAATCACGCAATAATAACCAAAGGTTGTGAAGTTTATGCTATATCACTTTTTAACGATTCTATATTATTTGAGAAAATTATTAGAAAATTTTTCGATATGTCGCTCGTGATCACTCACATTTTTATTACATTTTTATTTATGTGTCCATATGAATAACAACAACGACGATGACGACAACGACGGTAATAATAATTATTCCACACATGAATATTTAATTATTTACTAATTTACAAATTTATAAAATTTCACTAGAATCAAAAAGTAATAAAAATTAATAACATTAAATTAAAATGAAATTTATAAAGATAATATTTCTTTATTCAGATTTTTCAAATTATTACATTAATTATTTAAAATTTTACAAATTTTATTTATAAGAAAAATATATCAATATAATTAAATAAATAATCTTTTTCGTATATACCTACAATAATATAAATAATTGCAGATAAGAAATTTTTAATAAAAAAAATGCGAAGCGAGATTTGAACACACGACCTACTGTGTACGAAGCCAATGTCTTCCTACCGTCTACCTACTGCGCTACCGCTGCTGCTGTTCAATAGTGACGATCGAACGTATCAAGTGTGCCGCGGCCGACTAGAGTCATTTTTAAAAATCGATTTTTTCGAAACTATGGCCCATTGTCTGAAACGGTCGGACACATGTCGTTTTTTTTCGCCCAAGAACAGCCTGTAAAAAGCACATCAAAATCCCCGGAGCAGTCACCTGGTATTTCTCTTGTAAATTAAAAATACAGCCTAATGAGTGTCGATCAGATGTTAGTGCAAATATTTAAACTATAACAGGATAATAATGTTTTACAATGTTATATAATAATGTTATATAATAATGTTATGCCGCACATGTCGAATATTTTTCCGAATTTTCATTGTATGAGATAAATCTATCTTCCAAGTCAAAAAATCAACTCTATATTACTGCCAAACATTATTATTTTGCTATAGTTTAAATATCTGTGCTCGATTTCTCTAGACTATATTCTCTTAATTAATACAAGTTATGTAAACTTAGATGTACAAAAATAATTGATATACAAGAATTTGCATCTTTTTAACATTATAACTACAACTGCAAGCAAAATGATTTTGTAGTATTATATAAGTACTACTGAGAAATGTATAATAGTGCATTTTATATTTTAAATTGATACTATATAAAACTAAAAAATAAATAAATAACCATTTTTTCTTTGAAATGTTTTTTGAATCGGTTATTTTGATAGCTCCCTCTGATAAATAGATCATTAATTGTCGGTAGTTCTAGTGTTAACAGTTCAAACAAACTCTCGAAATCTGTCAACCGCAATTGAAAATTGTTTCGATATAAGTACGCCGTTAAACTATTAGTAAAAAATATCAAATACCTTGCATCCTATTTCATCGGAACGATCAGGACAATCGTAGTCGCCATCACATCTCCATCGCGATGTTATGCAATAATTCTCGGAGCACGCAAAATCAGTGTTTGGATGACAAGTTATCGGTCCGCAAGCTTTCTCGTCACTATTGTCCCCGCAATCATTATCATTGTCGCACACCCATAGCTGTTGGATGCAGTGCTTATTCGCACAGGTAAACTCGTCAGACCGGCAAGTATCGTCTGAGACGAAAAATTTTCATGTAAGACAATTTATTTGTAAAGTATGTTTACAGAATGACATTAGTCTTTCAAAAAAGTCAACACAATCCAACAGTATAAAAAAAAAAAAAATTTAATTAATTGAGATTATCCCTGACTTTTTCAAGCCGGTTAATCAACAATTATAGATATTTGATGTATCATTACTACAAAAAAATTGTTTTAATGATCTCAAAGGAATACATTCAAACACATTACATTATTATAAGTATAAATATATAACGTACAAATAAATAACGTATACAAAAAAACGTAAAACGTACACATTATATAACATATACAGGATGTCTCAGCACAATCTACGAAGCTCTTGTGAGAACGTAGAGTGGATTAAGGTAAACAAAATGTCCCACATCGTTTTGCGATATTTGCAATAATAATCGAGAAATTAATTGGGGAAAACGCGTGCTAAATGGTCGGAGGAAAAGCGCTCGATCCAGTAATATAGCTCGCGGATGCCGGCACACGGTGATTGGAAGAACATCGCGCTAATGCCTATACTTAGCCAGCGTATATGGGCTCGAAATCGCATCACTGGATATAAGCACAGGCAGAGATGCGATGTTCTTCCATTCACTACGCACCGGCATCCGTGTGCTATATTACTAGGTTCGCGTTACGGCTCGAGCGCTCTTCCTCCGACCATTCAACATACGTTTTTCCTTAATCTTTCCCAATTAATTTCTCGATTATTATTGCGAATATTGCAAAACGATGTAGGACTTTTATGTTCATCTCTACTCGTTCTACGTTTTTACAAGAGCTTCGTAAATTGTTCTGGGACACCCTGATATCAATTTCTACGTTGTATATGAATGAAACTAATTATAAATGAAGTATAAATATATGAAGTACATGTTTTACAAATATAAACAAAGACTCTAAAACTCTAGTATTCTCAATTATTGTAATATTAATCTTGTAATTTTAATTACAGAAATATATGTATGTACATGCATGTATACATACGTGCATACAGTAAATAGCACACAGTAAATACCAAATAAATTTCCGCAAAAACTGATTTTAATCTGCAAATGTATTTTAAAAAATAAACTTACAAATAAATTTCACGACACGTGTTAAATATATTTGATTTGTTACGAATGCTTATCTCATCTGAGATTTTCATGTAGACATATAATTTCTTCTGTAAATGTTTTGACAAATATTTAAATAGTCAATTTTATTTTATTTCTATTAGATCATTCACTGAAAGTTTACGTATATAACATTTTTAAAAAGTAATTTTTAACATAAAAATTCCATCAATTCAAGTCAAATAATGGTCTCTTCTCTACACCAGTCACTTTTTCCTTCTCATTCTACTCATATTACTTGTATCTCCAACTATTTCGCTCCCGTGTATTCTTTGTTTTCACTCGTAAAATAGGTACCAAACATATTTAAATCTATTTTTTTCTACTTTTATGTAAATACATTATACAGAATGTCTCATTTTAACTCGTGCACATGAATGCTTTAAACTAAATAAAAGTGTGATCTTTTAAGAAGAAAATATGGTATGATAAGATATAATAAAATATGAATATTAATAACCTAATAAGGCTATCTAATTTAAGCTATAAATTTTATTTTTTTAAATGGCAACTCCTACTTTTTCTTCTGCTATCATAAAGAACGGAAAAATGTATTCTGAGAATATTTATAATGCCACATTAAAGACTGATACTCCATTGACAACGAGATTATCTATTGCCAAATATAGTTTTGAAAGTAACCAGTAATGAAAATTACTATAATTAATTATCGCATTGTTAAATACAAAGTAAAATGCAGGTTTGTCAGGAAAAGGTTATTGTGAGAAAAATCAAATTCTTTTTCTTTTCCAATTTGCTGATAAAGAAGAAAACAAGGCGTTAGACTCTTTCAAATTCGGAACCAATATAACTTTGTTTTTTTGACTACTTTACACACTTTCTGTTTCCTAGTTTATCAATTACACAGGCCTGCAAATTTCAAATCCAAGAAGCAGAGTACATGATTCCGTTTTGACATGCCGAATCCGTCATCCAAATTTTTCCATCACATCAGAATTCGAAGGTGTTCTAATTTAAAAGTATTAAAATGGCTATGTTTTAGCGTTTTCAAATGTATGTAACTTTGAAATGGTAATATATAATGGTTCATATGTTAATTTGAGCAACGAATTCGAATTCTGCACAAAAAAATCTATAGAAGATAATGGTTTAATAAGGAAAAATGTTCTATATGAACTATGTTGACTTCTATGTAACTTTTTTTTCACAACTTAAGGGGGGAAAGCACTATAAAGGGTCACCAAAAATCGAATTTCTTTTCTTTGCTTTAATTAATAATATTATATGTATAGAACATATTCCCAAAATTTGGTTTGAAATTCAAAATCTAAAAGGTCGTACAGGACCATTTCTCGCACGCAGGTACGAGCGCGTAAGGCGTGGTCTGAGCGCACAGTGACTTGCAGCGGCTTTGCTCCGAAAAATCTGTTTAAAAAACGGAAAAAACCTTTCTATGAAAGATGTATTAGAAGGTGGCCACACAAAAAATGCGAATAAAAGTTTTAATAGTACGATTTAGCGGTTAGCTTCAAAGCATACACACATTCTGGCCTTAATATCACCGCCAATATTGACGCTAAAATATTTAATAAAGGCTACTTTGCTGTTTTGAAGATAATGGAAATATTAGAAATTGGCCTTCTATCTAAGTTATT